GTACAATTTAATAAATCGTTTGTACGATTTAATAAATCGTTTGTACGATTTATTAAATTATACAAACGATTTACTAAATTGTACAAACGATTTATTTAATCGTACAAACGATTTATTAAATCGTACAAACGATTTAATAAATTGTACAAACGATTTAACAAACAAATTGTACAAACGATTTATTAAATTGTACAAACGTTTTACTAAATTGTACAAACGATTTATTAAATCGTTCAAACGATTTACTAAATTGTACAAACGATTTATTAAATCGTACAAACGATTTATTAAATCGTACAAACGATTTATTAAATCGTACAAACGATTTATTAAATCGTACAAACGATTTATTAAATCGTACAAACGATTTATTAAATCGTACAAACGATTTAATAAATTGTACAAACGATTTAACAAACAAATTGTACAAACGATTTATTAAATTGTACAAACGATTTATTAAATCGTACAAACGATTTACTAAATTGTACAAACGATTTATTAAATCGTACAAACGATTTACTAAATCGTACAAACGATTTACTAAATCGTACAAACGATTTACTAAATCGTTCAAACGATTTATTAAATCGTACAAACGATTTAAAAAAAAAATTCTACATTGTTAAAATGGCACTAATACGCCGTCGTAATTGTCCTATTATTTATAATATAATAGCCTAACACTGGTAATCAGTTTTACAATGAATTCTTTATATTTATCATCTTGTATTTATAGTATCAAGAGGAAGGAAATATCCAATCTGGAATTTGCACAGTTTGGCGAGATTCTAAGGCATGCCACAATACAAGAGGTCCATGGGCCACATCGCTCACCTGAGTAACTTTGTTGATGTACTAGTAGTTCTTTACCAGATTTCCCCTCTTCTTATATCTATAGTGGCCCCTACCCCCAACCCCCACCACGCTCCACCCCCATCTTGATTTTAATAATTCAAAGTCCACACTAAACAAGGGTGCTTCCACCTAAGTTTCAATTTTCCTGGACCACTGGTTCTTGAAAAGAAGATTTTTCCTATATATTATTTCTACATGTATATAAAACTTGGATTCCTTATTATGGACTCGACCTACCCCCAGGAAAAAGATTTTAACAATTCAGATTATACACTACTCCAATATGCTTCCACATAAGTTTCAGCTTTTATGGCCTAATGGTTCTTGAGAAGAAGATTTTTAAAGATTTTTCCTATATATTTCTATGTAAAACTTGGATTCCCTATTGTGGTTCCGCCCTATCCCCAGGAGTTATGATTTTAACAATTTAGAATCTACACTACCCCATGATGCTTTCACATTATTTTAAGCTTTTATGGCCTAATGGTTCTTGAGAAGAAGATTTTTCCTATATTATTCAATGTAAAATTTGGATTCCATATTGTGGCCCCGCCCTAATATTGATTTTAACAATTTAGATTTTACACTACCCCAGGATGCTTCCACGTAAGTTTCATCTTTTCTGGCCCACTGGTTCTTGAGAAGATGATTTTTTAATGACCCCACCCTATTTTTGTCTTTTCTTGATTATCTCTCCTTGGAAGGGGACTTGGCCCTTTATATAAACAATTTAAACTCCCCATCACATAAGGATGCTTTTTACCAAGTTTGGTAAAAATTGATGAAGTGGTTCTTGAGAAAAATTTGAAAATGTGAAAAGTACAGACGGACGGACTACGGACAAAATGTGTTCAGAAAAGCTAACTTGAGCCTTCGGCTCAGGTGAGCTAAAAAGGAAATGTCATTAGAGCGTGTGGTAAAAAGAACTCTTGATCGATGGTCTGCCCTGTCCAGCTATTTTAACAGTCATAATGAGGCAGATAAGGAAGGGAAAGCGCAGAAGCTTGCAGGATATCTTACAAATCCAGTTCTAGTGAAACTTTACTTTTATTTTCTACAATGCAGCCTAAAACCAATGAATGAGTTTAAATTATCCTGCCAGGTAAATATAAATCTATGCATTCATAAATAAGCAGGGGAAAAAAGGAAAAAGTCTTTATTTATTTAATTATTTTTAATCATAGTCTCCATTTGACAGTTTATAATAATCATTTATGATCCTATTTTTACAGGCAGATGCTGTTAAAATTGGTTTGTTGACGGAAGAACTGAAAAGGCTTGACCAAGTTCACAAAAGTGGCAGTCATTCAGAAATACCTACAATAAAAGAAGATCCCTTACTCCAACAAGGAAAGTAAACATGATGATGAATTGCTTGCTATTGGTAGAGATGCAAGAATGTACCTGGATGGAGTTGATGAAGTGCTTCTCCCTTCAGCCAGAGCAAGATTTTTAAAGTACTTACATATACATGTAATTCAGCAAGTAATTTAATTTTAATTTACTATTAAAAAAAACAAATATGAATGCATTGTTTATTTTTTTATTTATAGATCATCCCATCGTATACCCCATCGCTGGATAATGTGACAGATACTTTAAGGACTACTAGGCCGATGTGGACCGATGTTGGGGCATCGCTCACACCATAGCATTGCTATTTACTCGTAGCCAATGTTCTATATGTTAGAGTACAGAACTTATCAAAGGACCATGGCAAAAGACTATAATGCCTTAAGTATAAGTCACATTATCCAACGATGGGTACGATGAGAAACCGATGCGTTTTTGATGAAAATGGCGTGGTTGCCTGCCGGGCACCACTAGTCATCGGACGGTGACTGAGTCTTTTTTTGCGAATCGGTGGGGTCATCGGTAGAAAATAATTCGTAGTTAAAATTCAGCGTTGTCTCCAACAATGCCTCACATCGCTCCTCATCGGCAACCCATCATTAACACATCTTTCAAGGATCGGCCGATGTATGACCGAGCATCGTCCAATATCCGTTGAATCTGAGGTCATCGGGGAGTTTAATGGTGTTCAACAGATAACGACCGATCATCGGTCGATGTTCGACAAAACATTGACCCGTAGTCAACCGATGTACGAACATTGTTCACCAATGTATGAGCGATGTAATATACATCGGTCAATTATCCTGGAACATCGTTTTATGATTAGCAATGCATCGCTGGGCCTTTGTAAGTCCGGCCGGCAACCACACCATTTTTCTCATAAAACGCATTGGTTGTCCATCGTATACCCCATCGCTGGATAATATGACTGATACTTTAAGGACTACTTGGCCGATGTGGACCGATGTTGGGGCATCGTTAACACCACGGATTACTACCGATTACCACCGGTCTACGGCTACCGGCCGGGAAATGTGACCTAGGCATAAGTCATATTTCCCGGACGGTGGCCTTAGACCGGTTGTAATCCGTGTTGTGAGCGATGCCCCAACATCGGTCCACAACGGCTTAGTAGTCCTTAAAGTAGCAGTCACATTATTTGGCGATGGGGTAAAAGATGGGCAACCAATGCATTTTATGATAAAAATGACGTGTTTGCTGGCCGGACTTATAAAGGCCCAGTGATCATGATACATTGCTAATCATAAAACGATCTTTCAGAGTACTTGGCGATGTAAATTACATCGCTCATACATTGATGAACATCGTTCGTACGTCGGTCAACTATGGGCCAATGTTAGGTCAAACATCGACTGATGATCGGCCGATGTCTGTTGACCACCACTCAACCCTCCGATGACCTCAGATTCAATGGACACTTGACGATGCTCGGTCATACATCGGCCAATCCTTGAAAGATAATTATGTTAATGAGGGGTTGCCGATGAGGAGCGATGTGGGGCATCGGTGGATACATCGTTGATTTTTAACTACAATTTATTTTCTACTGATCACCCCCATCAATTTGCCAAATTGCCTCAGTCATCGTCCGATTACTAGAGCTGTCCGGCCGGCAACAACGCCATTTTTATCAAAAAACGCATCGCTTTCTCATCTGCATTATCAACACTGTTATATCTTTATTGATTTTCATTTTCATCGACATTGTCTTCAGCAGTCACACGTTCGTTTTGATTTTCATATACTTTCCATGTTGTAATCTTAAATCTCATTCAACCACACTGTCGTAAGATAAAGATTAATAATTTGATAAGCATTATATGTAAAATATTTCATCTCCTTAAACGAAATTCATAAAAAAAATATTATGTTTACCAAAAATAATGACTGTCAAAACGTGTGAATTTTGTAAAAGATTGTAGAAACAGGAAGGGGTCACTTAAAAATGCGATACGGCAAATATGTCTAGATGTCTTCCTTAAAATGCATCACGCACGGTGCCAAAGATTTTAGTGTTAAGTGGACAAACTCTACGGTCATATGGTACAATGGTGCACATTTACAAGGTTATTATAACTTGATTCAGATCAATGCTTCTTCCAAATTGTTTTACGGTAGAAATTAGTTTTAACTGCGCATATAAGTCTAGATTTGAAGCCATTGAGTGACCATTCTCTAAAGTCTGAAATATCTGACGTTTCCAGGAATTCTCTCAAAATTCATATATGAGGTACCAAACAAACAGCTTTTTTTTTCCTTTTCTTAAAAAGGAACAATAAAACCGCTACCAGAAAATACTATAAATATTGTACTACAGAAAAGATGCGATAAAGAAATTTAATTTGGTTCACATGTATCCAAAATTGACCCGATAATACCGGCTCTTATGGGAGGCAGCGAGTTTCCACTTTTTATAATGGCGCCAGTTCTGACGTTTTTCTTGCACGTCAAATATCAAAATCGCATAAGGGCCTGGAAAACGGAATATTTCGGAATACAGTAAATGGTGAAGTCTATAATAACTAAAAATTCTCGAATGGAACATGGAAAAAACCTGCAATCAATCTACTTCACACGGAATTTTATCTCCTTATAGAAAAAAACATTCATCCACTAAGGCTGATGACGTTTAACGTTCTTAATGTAGTAACAATTTTTAAGCATTTCTGCATGAGATCTGATACAAGTCAATTTGCCAAGGGAAAATATCATAATTGTCTATTCAAAGAGATATTTCGCAGTATCCAAAAACAAGTCTACAAAAAAGCTTTGAAAAAGTAATCATTTATTATTTACATTCAAATATTGAAAACTATGCAAATCTGTAAAGTTCTTCTTTCGTAATATCGTTGTTTTAAAGTAATTTTGAATTGCTATAGTCTTCAAGTTCTTTTTTTTGCACCTATTAATTTCTAATGCTTTTCTTTACACCCGACAAATTGTCTTCTCTATACCTTTTATAAGAAAAATATGCTCATTATATGATGGTGCTTCTATCATCTTTACTTGTCATGGTGGAGTAAGAGTTGCTCCTGCCGTCCGTACTTTCCAGATTGACGATTCCGCGGAGTCGTTTGCTGCGGCAGTTGAACATATCCCAGAGGGCAGTGCGAAATTGCGTGCTCATCATGAAGAATATCCAGAAGTTGCAGGCGTAGCTCAGTAACGACATTGTGCTGGATATTGTGTCCCAGAGTATGTCGGCTTCCTCGGACAAAATTTCTCTTTTACGGTCTGTCGCCAGTTCGTGTGCATAGATCAAGAAAGCAATTCCATCCTGTATTTCGGCGACAAGAAACACGATAAGAATTATTATTACAAGTTTGTTTACTCTCTTAAGCTGTTCTTTTTTGAAGGAATCGGAGCTTCTGACAGCTGTGATGCGTCGGTGAAGTAAAACAGCCAAAGCAATTGTCGTTATGAGCAAAACAATCACAGGCAAAAGGCGGGCAAGAAACCCCGAGAAAATATAATAAAGCATCATGGACTTCTCGATGTCGACAACAGTATTTCTCAAGGACTTGGAAATTTCTCTGATGCAGCCTGACGGCAAACTTTCATTACGAAATACTGTGGTAAATATCGGAAGTTCTTCGAAATCAATACCAAGTGCCTCATATAAGTAAACAAGCACTGCAATGATAACAATAGAGACTATTTTGACCACCGACATTCTGGTATTGCATATTTTTGAATAATAAAAAGGTACGCAAACCGCAAGAAGACGTTGCAACCCAAGCAATGCCGTAAGCCAGTTGGAAGCCATGCGGAAGATATTGTAAATAATATACAAAACATGGTTTGCAACACACCAACTGTATGGCATATAACGATCTTTGTGATTTCCAGCCATGTTGAAATAAATCGCTTCTGGAAGTCGTGTAATGCAAATAATAGAGTCTGACACTGCTAATGATGTCAGAACAATGGTCGTCGGAGATCTTTTGCTTCTGAAGATAAAAACAGATATCAGCAACACGTTGCTAATTATAGTAGTAGTTGCGATGAAAAAGGTTAAATATCCTCTGATTGGTATCTCCCAGTCTGCTTTCACTTTGTACTTATGTGGATAGTACTCGGAATAGTATTCAAGAGGTCCGTAATCTGTGTAGTTCCCCATGTAATCCTTATAATTATAGTACCCATCGCCTTCTGGGTATTCGTGTTCCATTTCTAGTTCTTCTGCGCTTTGTTGACTTCTACAGCGATAGCTTTTTTCCTCCGTTCATTGCCAGTTTCATCTTATCGCTACCTCGTCCCCAGAATGAGTGCAGTGAAGAGGTATCGGGAGTCATATGATATAATTTCTGTCGAGTGTGTGTCTAGAGATGGAATTCATTACTGCTCTTACTATTTCCTTTTTAGTTCTAACTAGTCAAGTATCCCTCGAAATAAGTATCAATTATCTTGCTAGTACATTCCTAATCTCCTGATCTGGTCCTTGTTTGTCAGGGTTGGGTGTCCATGTTTTGATGATAAGTTGTGAACTGCGGATTAAAAGATTTTTGCTTCTTAAGTACATTTACAATTTCGGCTTCGTCTCTTGTGAATACAATGTCCATGTATTTAAATAAGAGACGCTTAAACATATCACAGACACTCACTAAACCCTAGTATTGGCATAGCTAACCTCATTTGATAAGTTCGTGGTTCCGGCCTTAATTCTGCTCCCTATGGTTCTTGGACGAATCTTTGTGGAAACGGTACGTAGGTATAGATTTCTGAAGGTGGAAATTTTAATAAAATATTCAAAAGTCGCGTCCATGTACATGTACTTGAGCATATATTATTTTTCTTCGATTTCATCTATAATTGATGATTCGAAAGAAATACTACCACATATGTATTATATGTGTAATGACACACTATGCAACATTAAAAATGATGAACAGGAATTAATTATTAGACATTATTTCAATGCTTCCCATGAATAAAGCTATTGACAATGATTGTATTAGCCATAAAATGTTAAAATCGACTATTTTTACGGTTGTTAAACCACTAATTGTATTATTTAATACATGCTCGGATCTAGAGGGGGGGGGGGGGGGGGGGGGGTCAGGACCCCCCCCCCCCTGGAATTTCCACGGTTAAAAAATATATATAACAAGAGAAAAGTCACCTT